GTAATTTCATTATATTATTTTCTTAGCAATAATTTTTTTTTTTATGATGTTTACAAGTTCTTTTTTAATATAATTTTGATGAATAGAAAAATTATCGATTTAGATTATTTAAAAAAAGACTCATTGAAAATAATGATATTTACATATTTAAAGCATTACAAATTTGATGATAATACATATTAATAGTAAAATCATTTGTTTTTGTTTTTAGTTTAATACAAAGTAAAAAACTAACATCTTAAAAAAATACATAAATAAAATTCATTAGTTTAAACATTGCAAGTTAGATGGGAATATATATATACAAAATAAAATACATAAATGTTTACAATGTGTGGCACACAACTTGAGCTCAGTTTTTTCTGTCCTATTTACTTTTATCTTTTGGATCATAAGAAAATAATCAAATTATTATTGAATGATTAAGCTGAAGAAGGATTGATGACAGAAAAAAGAGACGCATGCCTATCCTTATAAACAAAATGATTCTTCTTTTAAGGGGTGAAAATGATGATTGATAGCCGAGGGTTTTGTGGAAAACTATTTTAGCAATCAGTAAAGGTGTAATTGTAGGAGTGATCAAGATTTGTTTACATGTCATGATGAATGGCCCTTTAAGTTGTATAAGAGTTGGTAAAAACGCACCATAACATCAACATCAATCCACCACTACGATACTCTTTTTGGGATCTGAAGCTAGTAACCCTTTTTCAGGCAAAGATCAAGCTCTTCACAAGAGCAAAACTTGCTTGAAACTTTTCTGCATGGGTGACAAACTATGGGTTTGAAATGATTATGACATTAACCTTTCTCTAATCATTTTTCTTATATGCATACATACATATATCTATTTTCTAATGATTTTGGACCTGGAAAGATGGATAGATGGAGTTTGAGTTTTGTTATTACGGGGAGCTGTGGAAGAAACTCAAAATTTTTTATGGAGTTCAACAAGGCTTTCGGTGATGGGATTCAGTAAGGTCTTTAAAATTAGATAATTTGCAGAAGGATCTTCGAGCCAGGGAGTCTTCTCAAAAGCAACAGAAATATTAAGTTACGAGAATTGAGCGTGATATTATGCAGGCTATTTCCCAACCAGGAGATAGGAAAGATTATGAATGTTCTTGGTATATTACTCTATAGGTGTTCAGTGCTTCCATGCTTGCCGGGTCGAGTTTACGAGTTTTTTGCAGCGTAAAAAAGCAATGATTAAGCGCTGTCAGTGTATTATAAAAAAGGAAAACAGGTCAACGTATTAACATCATACAAAAAAATAACAAAAAATAACAATAATTGTCAATCTCTATCTCTAGGAATTCAAACATGGAAGCATAAGTCGGAACAAAAAATCAGTGAGCAAAGAGCAGCTCTAAAAAAACAAACCTGCAAATGCAGATCTAGGTAAAGCAACAAAACTCTCAAGTGAGATCAATGAATCTACTTATATTTATCCAGGATTAATTCTCAAGTCGATAAAAATTATACAAAATATCATGAAGACTATCTTTTAATAAATAAAATATTGAATTATAAAATGATAAAATAATTATATAAAATGATAAAAAAAAATAACAATTAAGATGATAATAACTTAATTTGAAAAAATAAAATAAAGAGATGGAGCTGACCTTAATGTCCCTTATAAATCTGGGATGAGTTATAACATAAACATCCTTGGATGCAAGACTTAAAAAATTTGATTTTAGAGGTAATTTAGTCAATCCAATTATTAAAAAACTGAAAATGCCCATTAATGCCAAGTAAATAAAAATAATTTTTAAGAGCTAATTAATAATTTTATTGTGTATTTAAAATTGAGTTGACCTTAATGTCCCTTATAAATATAGCAATGACATTTGCATCCCAAATAAAACATGGAATTACCCTCCTAACAAAGCTAAATGTTCTAATGTGATAAGGGTAAAATTGTAAATTTACAGTGCGAATCTACAATAAATTGTAAGTGTGTCCACAGACCTTATCCCTATTGTTACTATTATTTTCCTATTATAGATGTTGGTCGTAAATTTAAGGTTTTCTTGGGCATATCAAACTTTAAGGCAATTCAAGAGAAAAGAAGGAGAAAAGAAGTGAGATGTTGTTTTTTTTAAAAAAAATATATAATTTTTTTTACATTCAATATAAAAACAAAAATATAATAATAATCCTATAAATAATTCAATTTCTTTTATGCAGGTCGATGAGGATGCAAAATATTATCTACTTACAAATTATAAAAAATAACTGCAAAAGCCTCGAGTTATATAGAACTTCCACAAAAAATGGTAAGGGCAGCTTTTCCAAGCTCTCACCTATCTACTGTAAAAAAAACAACACAACATGACATATGCATCATAATTCTAAAACACAAACTTTAATTCATCTTCCCAATACAATACAAAAAATCAATACATATCGCGAAGTATTGAATATAACAATTCATAATAAAAATTAATATAATATTTTATTAAATTTAAATTAAATTTATAATTCTTAAAACAATAAAATATATAATCTAATTACATCTCAAACTTATTTCAGCTTATAAATGATTTTAGAGAGCTTGGTAAACTTGTTTGGAATACTTATGGATAAATCTATATTACCCCAACTTGCCCAACTCGAGGATAAGCTTATAATGCATGTGTAGAGATCAACACCTAAATCATCCTAATTGATAAATAAACCTACCTCCCTAATTGTATATTGCCATTTATAATAAACAATCTCATATTTCACTTGCTGTTTCAATACGCTTAGCCTCTTTAACCTTCACAATTCTAACATGACACAAATTGAGCAACTTGTTAGCTAAGACATATTTATCGACGCTATCATGTATAACAAATGTTGCTTTTTAAGCTGAAAAAAGAACAAAAAATACTCCACTCTACATCTACATAAGAGCAAACACAATATCCTTTATAGAACACTTTATAGGGCCACCGGTCCTTCTCTTTATAGAGGTGAGTAAAAAAATTAAAAAATTAATTAAATTTAAAAAATAAAAAAATAAAAAAATCTAAATTATAAAAAAAACTGGATTAAACTGATTAGAATTTAAAAAAAAATAACTGATTCGGTTTTATAAGCTCAAAATCAAAAAATTAAATATAATCTAAACTGAAAAAAATCTGAAAAAACCAAGATAAAGCCGAAAAAAAGAAACTAAACTGAAAAAATAGAGTTAAATTAAAAAAACTAAGCTAAACTGAAATTATTTGATTTGAACCGGTTTTTTTAAAATAACAGAACTATAAGTAGTTGGTTTGAACAAATTTTAATTTTTAATTACTTTTTTAATAAAAATTAATACAAAACAAAAAATAATCACTCCCAGAAAGAAAACAGTTCAAACCCTTAATAAAATAATATAAAAAATTATCAATGAAGAAGTTCGGGTCTTGGAATCCCCTCACTAGCAAGGCCATCTAATCAACAGAATAAAAAATTAACATATCACTACTTTCCATAGATACAAGTAAAAAAGTTGGTGGAGGTTGCATAACCCCATTCCCACTCGACTACAATTCATGGTACCAAGCTGCGACAATGTCTTCTCATCTTTCAAAAATGAACGTTGAAAGATATTCTATTTTCCTTCCTTCAGTAAATCTGGATAGTGAAAGTTTGAGGAACATGTATGAAAAAACAATTTCTGTATGATTTTACAATTTCGTAATCTTTTTTTACAATTTAAATTTATATTATATTTTCCTTTAACTACCACATGTTTTTTCCTAATTTTACACTTTGATCTCCTTTGTATCAATTTCATTCCTCCTTAATAATTTTTGATAAATTGACCATTGATTTAAGCATAAAATGCTACAATTAAAATAAAATTTAAGGAATAAATTAAAAAATAAAAATTAAATACCGTGAATTGCTAAATTATAAACCTTATATGTTTTAGTATTTTTAATAATAATTTATTCATAATAATTATTATTTTTAAATATTTTTGGGTTTGTTTTAGCAAACCAAGATTAATTTTATCTTTATAATCTTGCTATCCACGCTCATATCACAGGAGCTATAATAAATTTATTTTTAATTTTAAATATTTTGAAACACAATGTAAACTATATTTTAAAAAAATTATTTTTTATTAAAAATTATATTGTTTATATATTTTGGGTTGTTTTAATATGTTAATTTCAAAAATATTTTTTTTTTAAATATTATTTTAATATAAAAAATATTTTAAATAATAACTGTAAGCATACCCCTCTGAGTATAGAACCTAAAATTCTGAAAGCTTAAGGAAGCGTATAATAAGCCAAGCCTTGTCCAATCTCCTCGTACTAACCTTAACAAAACAATAGAACAGTCGTGTGGTGTGGCTCTACTGTAAAATAAAAACACAGCGAAATCCAAGCACCCGTGATAAAAAACGACATCAATTTCTTGATCCAGAAGCCCAATACGACATCTCCAAACAGTCAGGAGACACCAACTGAGCAAACATTTATCCCAAACACCAAGAAGGGCCCGTTGTCGTGGTCAAACACTCTTATTTGAAACCTAACTGCCAGCTGTAACTACCCAAAAAAGAGAAAGAAATTTAAATTCTATTCTAGCATGACCAAGCCAGCGAGCACATCAAAATGCTTGCTTCAATTTAAAGGGTGTTTTTTTTTTATAGTATTTTTTTATTTTAAATTAATATTTTTGAATGATTTTAATATATTAATATTAAAAATAAATTTTCAAAACTAAAAAAATATTATTTCAATATATTTGTAAATAAAAAATACATTAAAAAATAACTTCAATCTAAACATTTATGCTTCAAATGAACTCGTATAATGCGAGTGGCAAGAGAAGAGGAGGATGTAGTAGGGAGGAACGATTTTAAAATAACTATAGTAAATTAGGTAATAAGGTGGTAATTAATTTGAACTGCTGCGTGAGAAAATAAAAATAAAAATAAAAATAAAAATACAGAAAAAGGGGGAAGTACGTGTGAGAGATATTTTGTAACCCGAAGGGCAATTCAAATATTTGCGGAGAACAAAAACGAGATAGGCTATCTGTCTCTTTGCAATAACAAAGAAAAGGGGAAAAACCCCAAGAAACTTGGGCAGCAAGCGGCCTCTGCTCTCTCTTCCCTTCTTCAAGGACAGGGAAGAGTCGTGAATTTCAATCTACGATACGACACCACCATATGTTATCACTCCTTCTAATATCATGTCGTTTCGTTTCTTCTCTTTTTATTTCTGCACGAAATAATCTTTATCGACTCTTCCCTGATCCTTCTCTTCCCTCTTAATACCACCACCTGATTTTTCTTTTTAGGTTTTCTCCCAGGTTATTGTTCTCTCTCTCTCTCTCTCTCAGCTCCTTCGTTATCAAGGTAATTTTTTCTAGCTTCATTTCCTCGTTCTTAATACCATCACCTGATGTTGACACCATTTTTCAGCTACCCAAACGGTGTCGTTTTGGTATCTATTAAAAATCATAGTTGGGGTTCACTTGCTTTGCTTGTGCAGCCATCTAAAAAGCTGGGTGGAAATTTGCTTCTTATTTTCTTTTTAAATTATTATTGTTTATTTTTGTAATCTAGAAGTTTGTCTTGTCTAGAAATGATTTCTTATTTTTAACGTACTGCTTTGAATAATTGTATCTAAAGCTTGAATTTTGTGATTCTGTAATCAATCGAAGTTAAATTTGTTTCATTTCCACTAATTTCCCCTTATTTACTTGACAAATCCTGTGTTTTTCTATTTAGCTTCTAGATTATGAATTTTATTTGGGGTTAGTTTCTTAACTAATCTCTGATTTCAAGTTTCTGACTTTGATTTTTGATTTGGTGTTGTAGAAGGATGCCATCTTTTCCTGCAACAGCTTTGGATAGGTTGTTAGAACCTGGAGCTTCAAAATTTGTCGACAAGTCAGTTCCTAGTTCGGACGACAACCATCCAGTTCCGAAACCGAAGCCTCCTCCACCAAAATCGAAGCCACCTTTACCCAAATCAAACCTAGAGAGGAGGAATAGTGCGTCGGTGGTAGAGAGGAAAGGTAATCGTCCTCAAATATCGCCTTCGCTGTATGCAACTCCGGAATCGACCCCACTCCCTGATTCGCCATCTTCATTTCCTCCTTCGCCTTATATAATTAATCATAAACGACGTGGGCCACGCCTTTTGAAGAGCTTTTCAGAGGATGATGTAACTTCTAGGAAGAAGGAATTGGAGAAAGATGAGGTGAATGGGAAAGTGGATAATGGAAAAAATGAGCTTGTTGATTCAAGTTATGGCCATTCAGTTACTTTTTTCATCCCTGGTTCTGTTGAAGGTGAGCTTTTGAATGTTGTCAATGGGAGTCCTAGCAAAGAGGATGTTGTAAATGGGAGTCCTAGTAAAGAGGATGCTGTAAATGGTGTCCATCATGATACTATCATCGCGGCGCATGTTAATGGAAAGATTGATGGGGAAATAGCAAGTGGTACTGTGCAACATGGGACTAGTAATACAAGGACGGACTTTACCTTGGAAAAGGATGTGTTGAAGCCAACTGAGCAGAATGGGGAACGAGATGTAGACGTTGATGATTTCTTTGATCCACAGGACTCAATGAGTTATACTAGTAACACCTATGTTGAAGACACCACCGCAGCTGAGTCTTCTATGGAGCTTACTGCAGCTATACCAGTGGGAGAGTTTTATGATGCTTGGGAAGGTACCTTGGGTGTTCATGTCGTACTCTATTCTTTCTGTCTGTTTTACTTTGGTAGATCATCTGGTTATTGGAAAAGTTATAGTGCGTTTCCCTCCTTTTGTTTTTTTCATGCATCATGCTGTTTGGCATCTTGCGTTTAATCTGCCATATTTAAGTAGTATCTCATAGCATGCTATGGTGCTGGGGGAGCCATTGCTCTTCTTACCTCTTCTATACTTTTTGTTGTGTTTTTTCTTTTGCTATATGCATGCTTCGTATTGTTTGTCATCACCTCTTTACTCTGGCATATTATTATTATTATTGAAGAACGCAAATTTTGGTTCTGCCTTATTTTTTGGTTGTTTACTCTTATGGATACAATATAAGCAGCTGTTTAAATTGAGGAATTCAAGCGTTATCATTTCCCATAACTATCTCTGTATTCTTTTAGTAAAATTAGTAGTGTAACAAATTTATGTGTACTAGTCATAACAGAATGCAGAAGCTCACTTTTGTTTATTACTATTGCTAGAACTATCATCTGAGAGTGGGCCACATCCATCTCCTTCTCCTCATCTCAGTGGAGCTGAATTGCGTGAAATGAGATTGAGTTTGTTGATGGAGATAGAGAAGCGGAAGCAAGCAGAGGAGGCTTTGACTAATATGCAAAACCAGTGGCAGAGAATCAGGCAAGAATTAGCTCTGGTAGGGTTATCCCTCCCTGCTTTTCCTGTTGATGTGCCAGAGAATGATCAGCCATCAGATTCTAATCCTGCAGAGGAGATTTGCCAGCAAATCTATCTTGCTCGGTTTGTATCAGAATCTATAGGAAGGGGAATTGCAAAAGCTGAGGCAGAGATAGAGTTGAAAGCTCAGATTGAAGAAAAGAACTTTGAAATTACTCGATTGTGGGATCGACTTCATTATTATGAGGCTGTGAATCGAGAGATGTCTCAGAGGAACCAGGAAGTCATAGGTGAGATTTTTGTTAAATGTTTTAAGGTTTCTTTTGTCAGCGTTCTCATTATTTTTAACTTGGGGTGCTTGTGGAATCAAGAAAAACTATAGCTACGTTTCTAATTTCCTTAGTGTGTTGGTTCAAGCCAATGTTCTAAAACCATGTGAGTTATTGGACCCAAAGAAAAGAAACCTAAGATACTAGGTGTACTCCTAGAAGGATGGAACTGGTTTGGTAGTAATTGGCTTATAGCTACTAGGGATTGTTGAAACTGGTTATGAAATTCCTGCTCAGTTTGTTGATCTAGTCAACTAGAAAGCTTGAAACATTGTTGTCAACATTTAAGCAGTTCATATATTGCTGTCCTAGATTGACTGGCTAGTTATCTGTATGTTCTGTTGACCGGACCCAGTGACCTAACCAGTTTTCTGTAGTACAATTTGATTGGCAAGTTTGCTTTGCTTTGAAAACATTGGTCCTTTCCTTCTAAATGGGCAGAGTGAGGAGCTTTTGAACAAGAGCGAATTAAGAAAATTGTTGAGATTTCCTGTCGTAAGCATGCTCATCTCATAGCTTTTTAAGGTGTACTAGCTTTAATTGGAGCCCCATTCTATGTATTGCTAGATTATTGGTCTTGTAATATATGGCTTCTTATTTTGTAGAAATGGCACGGCGTAATAGGCAGGTAAGGAAAGGGAGGCGGAAGTGGATTTGGGGCTCAATTGCTGTTGCAATTACACTGGGCACAACAGCCTTGGCATGGTCATATCTCCCAGCAATGAGAGGATCTTCTTCTGCCAGTGATTCTCATGCGTCAGAGCATGATGATACAGCTAATTGATGAGCATCTGATCAATCAATAGACTCTGATGCCATGTCACAGGAGAATAAAAAGGTTTTATAGTCCATCTTGTGAATATCAACCTCTTGCTTTTGTCCCTAGCAATTTTCCTGCCTGCATAGATTGCAGGGTTACTGCCTGCTTAGATTGCAGGGTTACCATCATAATAATTCATTACTGCCTTACTGGTGATCTGGGAGGTGATTAATTTGTCCTGGGTCATTGATCATCTGCAATCATATGTCTAGCCTTTTTGTGCTTTCAAGGCCTTGCTGATACCTGCATGAACACCATCAGGTCCATCCTAACATTTTCAACATTTTAGAAAGAGAGCTTTCTATCCGGGGAGGGCCAATAGTCTCATTGATTTTAGTTTGTTCTGTATTTAAGTTGTATCAATTGCAAGTCTCCGCAGCTATGAAACTAAGGTCAAGAGAATTGATATGTTGGAACGTGGTTATCCCTGACAGAAGGGTCTCAACCTAGGAGGAATTATTTTGGATGCTAATCTATACATTAATGTTATTAGCCCGGGGTGAGTTTCGATGTTCATTTGCATTATGCATAAATGTACTAAACTGGTGATAGAAAGGTATATGTTGTTACTGCCTTACAGCTTGTTGCTATCGAGCCATTGACCAAATAAAACATGGATTCATAGATTGTGAAATGAAATTGACACATGGTGATCCTGTCCATGTGTGGGGAGTACTGGTATATGTTGGATCACGTAGTTATTAAAAAAGGTTGTCGCTTTAAAGATTCAAAACATTATGTAAAACCACAATTAGTTGAGATCCTAGTAAAATAGATTGTAGAAACTATCAAATTTCATGTTACTAGCGATTCTACTGTTTCGGAATTTTGAGTTATCAGGCCATTTGGGCTAGTTTGGAATTATATGTTGATATTTTTTTTTTCTTCTACAGTTTTCTTGCAATCCGAACATGGTTCAAAGCTATAACTTGCATAATTTGATCTGACTTCAGTGTTTTGAAAGGCCGTAATCTGATTTCTCTTTGATAAAACTTTACTTGCTATAGAATGACTAGATATGCTTGCCTGCATAGAATGACATTTTTCTCTTGTTTAGTGTGGCCTACCCTTGTTCTGCAGGAGCACAATTTTAGTTCATAAAATTTAAGTTGAAGGGCTAAATCTTGTTTGACCCAAAACTATTGTTAATTTTGGGTAATTTAGCCCATTGTTTACACAGCAAGAACATTAAAAAATAAAATAAAATCATCCTAGGGTGTCGTGGGGCAAGGTAAGGAGAGAAGAGAGGAGGAAGGAAGAGATTAACTCTCTAGTTAATGTCCCATTTTTGGGCAGAGTTGATTAACTCTCTGGTTTATGTCTCAATACTTGAGCCCAAACAAGGTCCGACAAATAAAATTCCAAAGCTTTATGGTTGTATGCAGTTTTTCTGTCATCTAAACGATTATTAAGAAACAACAATTAAACAAGGGTAGCATGCCTTCTTAATTCCTGCTAACTGCCGAGGCGTAAACACCAGAAGCAGCAGATTATCATGAACCGTGTGAAGGGTAGCAAGACATGACGGATAACAAAAAAGCTCTCGAGCAGGAGGATGACGACGATGGTGCTTGGGAGAGCGAGAGCTTGAAGGAGTAGAGTAGAGTGAGTTGGGCTTGTTTTTATTACCATTTCAACGATCACTTTTATGAGTTGTCTGACCATCATTTTAAGCGTGGAGAGGATCCCCTTTCTTTAGAGGGAACTCGGTCCAAAAACATCCCTAACAATGTATGCATATAAAAGATAGGCAATCAACGATGTAACTGGACCTGATCAGGCCTGTCTTGGCAATACCTTCCATGAAAATAAAGTGTTAAGAATCAAAATACAGACACTGAGAAGTTGCTCTCGTATAATACTACTGTGTTTGACTTGATTACTCTCCTGGACGAAAACACTCATCTCTAAGAGAGGAGCCATTTCCACAGAACCTTACTGTGATTACACTCAAAACACAACAGCTTGTACTTCGGCACAAAACGTTTTCACACATGAAAGGCACGATCCTTTCAGTTTCCTATTCGCTTGCCTCCATTTCCACCCCGCCAATGATGCCTCCTAGCCCTAGCGGCTCTTGCCCTCTTCCACCTCTCCACGTTTCTCATCCTCAAAAAAATCTTTCGGATTTGATAAAGCTTGTGTGCCTGTTGAGATATCACATTTGCAGTTGAGGAAGGTTGCCCCAAGATTATCTCATAACCATCCCGGAAATTGTCCATTCCTTCAGTTAAAAGTTGCCAAAACAGGCCTCCAGCAGCTGCACCTCCTCTTTTAGCCGATGAGTATATCTTGTAGTACACGGTATTGAACAATAGGTCTCTCTGGTATGTGCTGAAACCAGGGTATTTCCAAGATTTTCCAAATTCTGCAATAAGAATTGGTTTTCGAAGTATGTTTTGTGCATCTTGTATGTGGGTATCCAGCCAATTATTCAAGAAAGAAAGCTGGTTTTGATCATTAGAGCTGGAAAACCTGTTCAAGCATAAAAAACGTGTAAGATAAAAAAAAGATTCGGTGTGGCTAATTAAGGTGTGGTTACTTAATTTAGCCATTTTGGTGCGGCTACTGAGTTTTTAACCAGTATTGGCTCCACAAGGACTCAATATAAAGGTCATGGATCTCTTTCATAACGCTATATGATTCTCTTGAGTATAGCAAACGCTTAAGTTCTTATTAGGTTGTAGTTACCATTGATCAGGATATGCATGGACTGTTGCAAAATCAAGTCCAGGGATGCGGTTATTAGCTATGAAGTCTGTTCCTATCTTCAAACCAGGATTGAGACTGTTCCTCTGTGGCGTTGAAGGTCCATAAAATCCTTCTAACCCAGCTTCCAGCAAGTGATTTCTGTCAATTGACTTCACAAAGGAAGCCATTTCTGCTATCCAAGCCTATATCAACAAGCACAGAGACCAAAAGTAAGCACGAATTTTGTGCATTTGTATACCATTCTAAATGAAATCAGTGAATTCATTAAGGCTTACCTTTAACGCTCTGGCAACTCTAGAATTCATTAAGGCTTACCCTTACTAAGGTGGGGCTAAAAGTAAAAGGTCATTTACTGGTGATACGTAAACCTTTTTTTGCCAAACGTTCACTAATCAAGGCGGACCAAGAAAATTGAGGTGCAAATAGAAACGCAATCAATGAAACTTGGTGGGGGCATGCTAAGGATCCATCAAGGCCGGTTGGAAGTAAACCAGAGCTAGAATGCCCTAGTTACTATAATAATGAAGCGTACAACTACAAGGTAGGGCTCTAGATTTACTGGTAGCGAAGAAAAAAATAGAAGGCAACAAGAAGAGGTGAGGTCAATGAACCTGAATAGTCCTTCCAGAAGGATCTGATGTGCATCTAGGCTCATTCATAAGCTCCCATGCCATGATTGTTGGATCATCTTTGTAACGAATTCCAGTAAAGCTATTGTATCTATAAAGAACAGTCTGCAAAACAAAATGTAATCTAAGATAAGTTAATAACTGACTTTATACGCATCACGTCTCATAAACAGAAGAGATCCAGAAACGCGTCTTCATGACCAAGTTAATTCTCTTATGGAAACACCATTCAAACTTTAAGAAAAATCAGACAAAAATCCGGGCAAGTTTCCGATTCTTCAATCTATTATACAAATTTGTAGAAATTCATGCCACGAACGCCTACGAGGGAAAAAAGAGGAATCCATATGCATACAGATACTATACACGATCAACATAAAAACAGAACGCATCTTAAAATCCGAGAAAGAAAAGTGAGTTTAGGGAGAAAGGACTCTGACCTTTATATGGTTCTTGTAGTAACCCTTGACAACGGGGTGCCTGAAGAAATCATCATCAGATGACAGATACTGCCCTCGACTTCTTGCCCAGTTTACGTACTGCTTCTTCCCTCCAAAGCTATCATAGTTGTTAGCAAAGCTCAGAATGAGCTTGATCCCATAACTTCTAGCCTCAGCTACAACAAAATCCAGCCCCTTTACAAATTGTAAAAGGAAAAACAGATGAAAATCGAAATAATTAAGCAAGATTGCGATTTTTGAAGATTTATAAGAACAAGCATAGCTAAAAAGAATTTAACTTTCAAGAGACCTTAAACATTTGTTCATTGTAGGATCCAGGGGAGTACTGTAGAGGTCTGTAACCACCATCACTAAAAGCCCAAGTTCTGGCCACAGTGAGACCATGGCTAGCTGCTTCACGAAATGCAGCTGAAACTTTTGGTCTCTGAGATGGATCAGAAGCCGTGTACATCAACCAGTAAGCGTTGAAGCCATTTGCATAGTAAGGGCTACCATTCAACAAGAAATGCACTCCTCTAGTTCTAATGAAACCATCTCCTGCTTCAACATGGAAATGAAAACATCCTTGATGGATCAAGACGACTAGTAAAAGAGCCAAAGCCAAAAGCGTCATCTGAAATTTTAAGGGTTTGCCGTTTAAAAGTTCAGAGAAGTTCTGTCTTTAAACACTTCAAGATCATCAAAAGACTACAAGCAACTGTCGATAGAGAAACAGACAAGGTTTTTTTTTTTTTTTTTCAGCAACGTAAAACAGAATAAATAAGACGCAAATCAAGTGAATTCTGAATTTGCTTTAAAATATATTATTATCAATTTTACGAGATGCAATATATTTTTTAAATTGTATATTAAATTTAGCTGAAATTTTATAAAGATATAAAAAAAAATATCGTTGTATAATTTTAGGTCAAATAAAATTTAGAAACATATTATTTTAGATAATTAAAATTATTAAATAAATCTTGTTAAATTTATCTTCGTGTACTATTTATAAAATATAGAGGGATTTTAACATGATAATTTTGTTATATTATTTTATCTTATTTATTTATTTAATATTAAAGTGGGGTTTCGGTACGAAGAACGAGAAAGAAAAACATGGAAATGAAAACGAGATCATCCTTAAAGCGTGTAAAGTGGAAAGAAATGGTGCAACGCTATGCAATAAATGACCATTTCTGCCCAACAACTAAATTGTTAATTTCATAACACCATCGTAGATCTAAGCTCCATCAATTCTGGTCTATCACAGCCACTTGATGCATTGCTCTCAAAAAGAAGGTCCCAAATTTCGTACTAGTTTAAATTCCTCTACTGCTGCTTCCATCTTTTCTTCCCTATAAAAAGCATTTGGTGTCTTTCTTTAAGTGTCGCTGGTTACTCCTTTAATCCCCATTTTATTGCATCTCTTAGGTAGTCACCTGTTTGCTTTTATTATGGGATGGTTTGCACCCAGCAAACCTGGTCCATGGTCGTGCATATTTGGTACAGTTAGCAATACCAACTACTTGATAAGTGTTTTCCATCTCCTCAAACTAAAAGCTGGCGATATAATTAATAGCCATTAAGCAGCAAAAAAGATCGCACCAGTATCCTTTCGCCGGGATTTCCTCTGGGGCTTAGCTTTGCCTGAAGAGCATGGCAGGCCTATCATTTACCTTCTACCATGCTCAGCAAAGAAAGAACCTCGTGTATGTAACTTTATGGAGTAGCTTCTGCAAGTCCTTTTTCAGAAATCTGGTGCTTTTGACGTCTCCATCTTGCCCATGTGAGCTGCAGGATCGCTTGCCCATGTGCATGGTCCTACTATTTTTGTCATTTTAGCCTTTAGAGGGCCATCACTCATTAAATGCCATGGTGATTTGCATGTGCCGATGCTCTCATTCCTACTTGTTCTCTCCTTCGCACTCTTCCATGTTTGTGGCTCCCAT